CCTGCCAGGGTATATTTTTTTTTAATGGAAGATAATGAAATAGCAACCCCGCCTGCGCTATCGGTTTACACTGGCGAGGCACCAGTGAGGGATGATTGGTGAGGTAGGTCAGTTAGTCCATCGTGACGAATTTAACAATAATATAGTCACAATAGTTTCCAGGGGGAACCGCGTGGAGATCAGATAGAGTATATTGATAGTAATGGAGACCAACTGCCCCATTACTACCAATCGATAGGACATATTGCTAGCAATAAGTATTACTAACAGTCCTTTTTCCCCCCTTCCCCCTCGACTATATAGGTTTTTTTTTAAAAGTGAAAATGGAACGGCAACTTCGCCCGCGCTAACGGGATACGTTGGCGGGGCACCAGTGAAGGGTGATCGATGAGAATGAAAACAGGCCAGTTAGCCCATCATGACGATTTCATCAGGAATTAACCATGATAGTTTCCAGGGAGAACCGCGAGAAGGGCGACCTGGTTGGATATATTGCTAGCAATGGGATTTTTAGCCTCCATTAAACCATTTCTTTGCAACTGCTCACTGCGGTGCGGAGTAAACACCAGTAAGTCCACAATAGTACGGTGAAATTAAAAGATTACCTGAGCCGATTCAGAGAGAGTACATTTGTCTGCATTAATATTTATTTAATTACGTTCTTTATGTGCTGTGAGCCGCGGCGCCGCCTCCGCGCCCGCCGCGTCTCGCCGCCGCCGCCGCCGCCGCCGCCGCCGCCGCCGCCACTGCCGCGACCTCCGACGCAGTACGCACCGGCAGGATTACAATACAATTATATGGATTTACCTTTCAATTGGAAAGTGGATTAACATTGACGAGTTTCGAAAGAATACGCTTTAATTAGTAACATCGCTGCTTTTTTAATGAAACTCATTAAATGAATACTAATAAGAGACATTCCATATAAGCGACGCAAGTTTCTATGGTATAAAGTAACATAGTGTTGTGTTTACCTAGTTGTAACGTGCTCTTCATCTAGACGTGTTCGTTGAGTTCACATCGTGGATATAAGTAAGTAGTAAGTGCCCGCACACGTGTCTGCACGAGTAGCTACACAATAGAGGACAGTTGGGGAGTATTCATTAAAATATATGTATTTGTTGGTGACAGGGGCACGGGACGTCTGCCGTGTTTCACACGTCACAGACGCTGAATAAATTCAATTAACACCGCAAGCGGTGAATATTTGTTTTGTGTACGCCTACACGTACATATGTAAGTACATATGTGAAGGTACACACGAGTAGTGAGTTCGGTGCTCGCGCGTGCCCACCCACAATGGAGACGCAAGCTGCCAGTTATGGAATTTAAATTTTAAATAAACGAGCGCAGTAATGTTACGTTACAACGTACAAATTTGCAAAATCATTATATTCACTCCTAATATTTTTTTCTTCTATAGATTTTGGAAGGAGGTAAATTCTAAATGGTGTATTATACACCCTACCAGGTCGACCTCCACGCGGTTCCCTCTGGAAACCATCGTGACTAATTTATGATTAAATTCGTCACGATGGGCTAACTGACCTGCCTATTCAACTTCACCAATCAATCTTTTCGTCAATCGTTGTATCTGCATGGCTGTGTTTCGGTTTGAAGAGTGGGATATGACAGTGAATTTACAGGGTACAAAGGAATAACACCTGAGTTCTCAGGAATGGCAATACATGGGTGGGGTATCATGTTTGAAACAGTTTACTCTGTTATATCTATTACATATATATACAGGGGACAGTTACCACTTTCCATCAGGTGAGCTATCAGCTTGTTTACCATACTAAGTTGTATAAAAAAAATGACCGAGACAGTTGTTATTTTAAACACAAAAATTGGGCCACAAACGTTCCGCTGGGAATTGGCGGTTATATCTTCTAATCTACAACGCTCGCTTGTTATAATTGGCTATAAGTTAACCGTACTAGTATCCCTCGTACAAACTGCGCATTCATACTGTCATTACTCGTCAAGTGGGATACGTAGGTAGTGTACTTTAATGATAGGGCTCAGGGCGAGGCGAGCGGCGACCGTGTCCTTCGTAATTGAATATAAAGTTAATGAAAGAGCAACGCGGCCGCGTGGCCATCACTCCCGGACACCGAAATACGCTAATTACCCTCGGACACTGGCCGGGTGGGCAGCAGAATTATGTCGCATTACATTATAATATACTGGTACATATAGAAATAATATTTAATGTAAACTTACGTACTTAGCTAATACTACCAGGATAGAGTAGCGTTGGGTGAGATTCGTAACATTAAAGTGGATAACTGGTCCAAATATTAGTGAAATTGTAGCATGTTAATGGGGCTCTTTAGAAAGGACGTATTATGATTTCTTCAGGGTCGGCAACGTGCATGTGACAGCTCTGTTGCAGGCGTCCATAGGCTAAAGTGACCGTTTATCTTAAGATGTTTTTTTTATAAATGATAATGGAGTGGTTACCTCGTCTGCTCTATGGGTATATATTGGTGAAGTACTAGTAAGGGATGACAGATGATGATGAATTCAACAATAAATCAGTCAGGATAGTTTCCAGGGAGAACCGCGTGCAGGTCGACCTGATATCGGTATCGGTATATTGCTAGCAATGGGATTGCTAATCTCCATCACTCTCTCCTATTATCCCATCTCTCCCCTCATAAGATGGGTTAAATGCTTACATACCACTTTTACAGTACAAAAAAAATATAGTTCAGGCATTACTTTGGGCAATGTCTTTGCTTTTTGGTGGAAATAAATTATATTATTTCTCCAGTTACGTTGGAGACCTTAAACGGAGCTCACCAGAATGAGCGCACGTTAGATTTTAATAAGGACACAGAAAATTGTCGACTAAAATTCAATACAGACTCCGAGACGGCTGGTCATGGTAGTTATTTGAAAACAATTGAAAGAGAAGACGCGTCTTAGATTTATTCTATATCCGGACGAAGATTACGGAGAGAGACGTGATGCCGGGTCGCGTCCACGTCAGGGGCGCGCGCGGCGGGCGGCGGGGGCCGCGGCGGAGGAGGAGGAGCGGTTGGGGCGTGCAGCTCTCTAGTTAATGTGTTTAACGAAGCGCCGCGGATCGAACCCTTCAGCCGTCGGCGGCGATCACGTGAAATATCCGGCGTTATCGATATCTTATTCTTAGCGGATAATTTGCACGTAAAGTATTTGACTGTCAATACGAACATTTAGTTCACGGGGGAAATTTAATTTGCTCTCTTATACGCAGGAAAATTGTATAAAAATATTTTCGAAAAACAACAACTGAGACCTTTATTGAAAACCAATAAGAGGTTTACAATAACAATTATGAAGGCAGTAGATAATGTCATTTTCTTACTGTCATATTAAAGCTACCGAAGTTCAAGGTACTCGTAGTTCAGAAGACGATTAGAAATTATTACTACATTGTGTAGTCCGCCTCACCCGCCAGGTTTGGATTTTACGGCACTGGTTGTTGGTAAGGTCACCTTATCGGATATTTTTTTGAGCGCAAAGAGATGGAGATTAATCCCGTTAATAAACATTGTTAGAGTCAAACTCGATAATATAAAGAGCCGTATTTAAGTACGATTTAAAGCGCCACTAAGTTTTTCGCTTCATTCGTTTTTGACTTCATTTTCTATAATTTTGTAAAATCATTTCATCATTAAACATCTTACAAATTAATTAAAAATTGATCCGTCGTCTTCATTATAATATAATTTTGTCGCGGCATCCCAGAGATGACTCCGATGACTCCAGAAATTTCCCACATCTTAACCGCAGTTTTAACAATATCCGGAGCAATTTACACGTCACGTCACGCAGTCAAGGATGAAATGACAGTTATATGACACGAGGCGCAAAGTTTGCACATTCGGCGACGCGGCGCGTGTGCCCACCATTAGATAAAGCCGACTTGTACTGCTACACCTCCCCCCCCCCTCCCACTCCTCCCCGCCCCTGCTCCGGCCAGTCGGCTAAGTTGCCGGCCGAGGACACACCGGCGACACGCCGTCACTGTTATGTCATTTATGGTATAGGGATTTGTTTTTATGTAACCTGGAATGACGCACAAGCTGGAAACCCATCTGATGACAATGAGCACCATGGACATCACAGAATGCATTCTGATGCCTCCCTCACGTGTTGCCAGCTCGTTCCCAGCTGCCTGGCGGCAGTTCAAACTTGACAGTAGCAGACATTGCTTATATTAAAATATCCTGATACTTCTTCTACCCAGTGTATGTGTGTATAAAACGTGCCCTAAGTGTTAAACCAGGCTACAACACTACACTGTTGAGCAATAAACGTCGGTACAACATTGTATTGTAAACATTCCTATTAATGGGATACTAATTAAATAAATAATTGAGTCCTCGTTGCTGAGGCACCAAGTGCCACTGCGTTATTTACGGTTATACTCAGTCGTAACCGTCTCGTAGCTAAATCGTAGCACTGTAGCGCGTATGCTACGCTGTGCTACGGCGTTCAACTTGAATTACCTTCTTACCGTTCAAATGAACATAAGAAAATCTGCTATATTTTTTTTTGATGGGTGGAAGTGGTATGGTAGCCCCGCCTGCGCTAACGGGATACGCTGGCGGAGCACCAGTGAAGGGTGATCGATGAGAATGAAAACAGGCCAGTTATCCCATCATGATGAATTCATCAGGAATTAACCATGATAGTTTCTAGGGGGAACCGCGAGGAGGGCGACCTGGTAATATACCCAATATTGCTAGCAATGGGATTCTCTACCTCCATTACTGACAATCCATTTCCCCCCAATCTGCTATATTAGGAATAAGTTCTTGGTGATGTTATTTAATTCGAGTTTAAAATTGCAGGAAAACGCAGTATAGAATGGGTGCCTCTGCGTCACTAGATGGAGGTACAACCCCGAATGCAAAGTGCATATGCTATATAGAAAAGGCATATATTATATAATAATGACTTTTATTTAATCGCGTCATGTGGATATTTGTCTTCTGAAATAAAAATTTAAATGTGAATATAACGGCAGTACAATGTGAAAGTTTTGAAATCATAATGTGTGTTGATGCGGGTGCCGGTGGTGGGTAGGTTTGCATTCTAATCGAGAGCTGTACTCGTATTGAGGAGCAGACAGGCGGCAAGTAGCGTGCGGAGAGCGCGCCGCTGCGCCGGTGTGCGGCCGCGTTGACACATTGTATTAGCAATCAGCGCGACTCGTGCCGCCGCCGCTCGCACCGCTGCCGCGCCGCCGCTCACACCGCCCTGTTGCCACGCAGTACAGTACGATTCCGTACAACGGGACACCCGGCACAAGTTTGTTAACTCTCCAGTGAACCGTGTACACACCATCTGTAGGGCCGAGGATATTTCCATGCGAAACATTCCATGTTTTGCTAACCCGATTCAGTAGTTTGAGCTGTCAAAAAGGAAAAAGGTTAATGAATCAGATCTCAGACCATGGAAAAGTGGGCAAATAAAGGTATTATTTATTATTTATAAAGGGTTTGCCTGCATAATGACGATAGTCTTGTGTATAGCCCAATTGTGTATCAACCATCCAAATTTGTTTAGTACCAGAGGGAGACTTTGTACAAAAGTCGTTTGCTTGGATATCTCTCTCCTATTCGTGTTAAAGCAATTGTGTTTGCATGGTTGTGTTTCAGTTTGAAGGGTGGAATATGGCAGTGAATTTACAGGGTACAGAGGAATAACACCTGAGTCCCGAGGAATGGCAACGCATGGGGGGTATCATGAGCGAAACAGTATACTCTGTTTTGTTTATAGTACTGCTCATGTCTATAGGCGACGGTTACCACTTTCCATCAGATAGATAGATAGATAGCTAGATAATTTATTTGCATCACTTACAGCGCACAAACAGCAAAAGATACAAAAGCAAAGTGAAAAAAGATAAAAAAACATACATGTACAAAAGATAAAAAAAAAAAACCAAAAACAAAATCAGAATGCATAATAATTTTTTTTTATCATCAGGTGGGCCGTCAGCTTGTTTGCCATTCTGAGTTGTATAACAAAAAAGTAACGAATGACCTATAAAATGGTTGGATGATTTTTGTTATGTAGAACAGATAATAGAAGTAGATGATGAAAATGAGAGGACTGTGGGTGCTAGTGAACACCTGCGGAGTTGCAGCGAGCAGCGCGTCCCGGGCTGTCTCCGACGTTAAGTACTCGTTCATCAAGAACGCCATTTGTATATGTAGTACGGTTAAGGTAAAGCTGTTATTTGTAGTAGCGATCGTGTACATAAAGTAATATAACTGCATTCTCATGTACGCTAGCAGTAGGCGAGGCGCTGCGTGGTCGCTGGCGGCGGCGGTGGCGGGTGCAGCGCCGAGCGCGGGTTATCAGAGCGCGACGATTTAATGAGCGCGGTCACCGGCGCGGCGCGCTGCTACCTTGCCGCCACTTTTTATTGCACTCCCTCGCCCTCGCCCTCGCCCTCGCCCCCGCCCCCGCCGATACGAGTAGCTAAGTAGCAATACAGTCGCGAACGTTTATAACTGTACTTAAACAAATTTAAAAGCCTTCCAAGAGGACGAGGAGGAGGAGGAGGTCACCACTTTGTATTTTTTTGTGTAGCCATAAAAGTAATTCAGATAGGTGACCGATTTATAATCGATGTCCACAATTACTTTTACAATACGTAGAGTACGTATTGCTTACATATTAGTTTTATTACGATTGAAGTTCTTTGTGGAGTAAAAGTAAGCAAGTAAAAACAAAGCAAAAATAAAAAAAGATAAGCAGTTTCCAGATCTTTGATATTGAGTTCTAAATCACTGTTATTTGTTGGTGAAATATGAAGGATGATGATGACGAGACTTTTCTGATGCTGACTTATCATTCATCATCATTTCAGCCATAATCCGTCCACTGCTGGACATAAGCCTCCCCCAGAGACTGCCATAAAGATCGGTCCTGAGCCACCTGCATCCACTGACTTCCTGCAGCGCATTTCAGGTCGTCACTCCTAGTGAGGGGTCGTCCTACATTGCGTTTACCCGTACGTGGCCGCAACTCGAGAACCTTTCTCTCCCATTGGTTGTCGGTTCTTCGAGCTATGTGACCAACCCATTGCCACTTGAGTCTTCGGGCTATGTACTTAAAGCTGATTACTTTAATAGACAATTGAATGAAAATAAAAATGCGCCAAAAAAGCTTTGGAGTACTATTAAACGCATTACTCATAATTCTGTTGCTGTATCGACACCTGAGGAGTTAACCAGATCTAAAAGCACTATTATGGAGTCTCTTAATTACTGCAATTCCTTTTTCTCCTCTATAGGATACAGGCTGGCAAATAATATTTTGACAAAATTAAATGAAACACAAGAATCACTTGCCAAAAAAATAAAATTTACTTCTACTCTTAAAAATTCCTTTTTCATCAATCCCACTGACGCTCAAGAAGTATTAAATGTTATAAACACTCTAGATTCTGGTAACGCCTCTGGTTTTGATGGTCTTAACAATTATATTTTAAAAAACATTGGTCATCTTATTGCGAGCCCGCTGGCATCAATATTTAATCGCAGTATACTGTCTGGATATTTTCCTCAGATCTGGAAAACAGCTGTAGTGGTTCCTATACATAAAAGTGGAACTAAAGATGATCCCAGCAATTATCGTCCAATTTCACTCTTGCCCGCATTTTCCAAACTTCTAGAGCGTATCATCTACAAGCGACTAGTTGAGTTTCTACAGGAAAATAAAATTTTGAACAACAATCAGTTCGGATTTCGTCAGGGTAAGTCAACTGAGGACGCTGTGACGCTTCTGACGGATACTGTCGTCGATCATCTGGATGAGGGTAAATGCTGTATTGGTGTCTTTCTTGACCTTGCCAAGGCATTCGATACGGTTTCAGTTCCAATGCTTCTAAGGAAACTCGAGAGTTACGGTATTCGTGGTTTGCCTTTAGATTGGTTCAACAGTTATTTGTCACAAAGAAGCCAATGTGTAAAAATAGGAGATCAGAGAAGCGATCTTAACTGTGTATCCTTTGGTGTTCCTCAAGGAAGTATACTGGGTCCTGTCCTGTTTATTTTATATATTAACGATATTTTAAACGCCCAGCTGTAGAATTGTGATATAATATGTTTTTTTTTTTTTTTTTTTTTTTTTTTTACAACACAGGGGGCAAACGAGCATGCGGCTCACCTGATGGTAAGTGACTACCGCCGCCCATGATCACCCACAACACCAGCGGCATTGCAGGTGTGAACTGCATTGTGTGTGTGAATGTTACGCAGATGATACAGCTTTAATTTTTCACGGTCAATCGTGGCAGGAAGCACAATGCTTGACGGAAGCTGGTCTTCAGCGAGTATACAAGTGGCTAAATCACAACCTCCTTACACTAAATGCTTCAAAAACACAATTCATGTGCTTTCATAAAACAGCTGCATCTCGTCCTCCTACACTGATTGCTCTTAAGGTTCATGCTAATGGCTGCTCCCTTTCTGGTGGTAATTTATCTACAAATTGTAGTTGTAATCAAATTGAAAAAGTTTGCTCGTTAAGATATCTCGGTATTGTATTAGATGAAAATCTAAACTTCAAAAATCACGTATCAATAACAACTAAACGGGTCCGTAAATTAATGTATACTATGAAATTATTGCGGGGTGTTACCGATGGTCCTACCGTCAAATTTGTGTATTTAGCTTTGTGTCAATCCGTCCTTAATTATTGTCTGCTGGCGTGGGGTGGTATTGCGAAGTCAAACCTAATAGCTCTAGAGCGAGCTCAGCGCGCTGTCCTAAAAGTATCACTGAGAAAACCGCGGCGTTATGATACGAAGAAATTATATGAGGAAGCTCAGGTACTAAGTGTTCGTAAATTATTCATCTTGCGAGCGACTGTATACATGCATAAATATGCAATAAATCTCCCTACATATAATGACATGTTATCGAAACGAATTTACAAACTCCCTAACACACACACACACACACACACACACACACACACACACACACACACACACACACACACACACACACACACACACACACACACTCACACACACTCGTGTACCCAAACTCACATGAAACATTATATAATTAGATTAACCCTGTTCGCCGCACCATAACTGTAAAATGACTTGCTTTGACTTCCACGAGACAGGCTTTGCCTAGTGTGGGGTCATAGCTATATTGTACCATAGGCTAATTTTGTTAAAGGAAATAAAGATATTCTTATTCTTATTCTTATTCTTATTCTTATTCTTATGTCGGCTGACTCACTCACTCACTGTTAATTATTTTGCCATAATTTTAAATTCCATATTCAAAACTGTTCAACCATTTTCTGTGTTTTAATATCCGCATTTCACGTCAGCTGAGCTGTTGTTCCTATCTGTGTGAACATCTGTATGTGCGCGGACTCCTTCCATTCGACCGCTCCCATTTAATATGGGGCATCTCAATTAGTCAGCGAGCCGGCGATGTCCAGCCGGCGGGACTCTCTCTGTTCGATTTGATATCAGCTCCTGAGTATCAGTAACGTGGAACTCGTTGCCAATTAAAATTATATTACATAAGTAGATTAGATACTGTTTTACGTGTCTATTACGGAGCGGTGGACTGTAATGAGGTGATGAAATTATGTAGACACGGAATTTAGTAGCGAAAAAATGTATCAACAGCGAGCAAGGACAATATGATATATGGCAAAAAATATAAAAATGAAATTACAAATAATAATAACATTATAAAAGTAAATGTGTATAAAATAGTATAATAATGTCTAAAGAGTTTGCATCGGCCGGTCGCCAATAGTGCCTTTTGTGAATAGGACTCCCGAAGTGTCACTCAAAGATTACAACATAATATTTCTTTAAAACGAGGGTATTATTATTACTTTACATGATTTCTTCAAAATCGTTAATATCAACCACTCCACATTCCGGACATGGGCGTGCGTATAAATTCTCTGAGGTATTCAGAGGTTACGGTGATCATCCTCAATCAATATCAGGAATGCGAAAGTTTATAGTAATGGATGAATGGATGTATGGATGGATATTTTTTACACTTTCACGTAAAAACTACTGAATAGATTTAAACTAAATTTAGTTTACAGTTAAGTTATATCTTAATTTAGTACGTAGGACATTTTATATACTGATTCATACGAGCGGAGCCGTGGGATGCAGCTAGTTTACAATGATGCATTAGGAACACAATTACTATTTTACTTAAAATATATACTCTGTTCATTACTATTTATAACACGGTTAACAAAAAAATAAATAAAAAAAAAACATGAAATATAGATCCAATCCATTTAAGACTGTATGTATTGAGAACACACGCAGAAATGGGACTCTTTAGTTATGCAAAGCAGTCCGCGTTGCTTGTAGGACGCGGCGCGGCGGCGGTCGTATGTTGTACTCGTAACACTGGGAGCACTGTAATTACGTGTGTCGTGACGATGACGACAAGGCTCGCCGTACCAGTGTAGCGAGCGGCGGCGAGCAGCCGCGTTACGGTGCACATGTCGAGTCGCGGCTCACGGAGTGTATACAGGGCGCGGGGAACTCGCATATGCTATGAGCCTGCACCCGAGGACAGAAGGGGTTCACACCACTTACGACACGGATCATGTGATATTTACAGTCATGCAATCTTGAAAATGGTTTATATGAGTTTAGTGGAGAGTGCGGGAAATAGAGCCATGGAAGGAAAATTGTTGATTAAAGTCACATTTGTTGTAATTATTATAACTATTAGTTAGGAGCCATAAACTTTGTATAGTTGAGTATCAAATTATCACATTACAAATCAGGTATATTTGAACATTTCAGTAAAATAAGATTTTTCAAACAAAGTCATTAGCTACCATGACTCTATAATTCGGGAAACGAGGTCCTATTTAACACTCATATGTGAAATAATAGTTTTTAGTCAGTGTAATGGTGGTAAATTTTAATAACTTTTAAATTGTTAGATTTAAAAAATAAATTGTTAAACACAAGGAAATAAATATTAAGGATAATTATAAAAAAATAGAGTTTAAATATAAGAAGCTGGATTATCACTGAGAGAACATTCTTTATTCGCTCAGTTTCCGCAATTTTTGCAACGGTACCACATCTCTCCAGTGTTGTCCGTATCTAAACAAATTGCACGTGGAGTTTCTTCTCCCGAGTTCTTAAGAGCTATGAAAACTCCTTGCATTACTCATCAACCACTATTTATTACTAAAATTATTAATACAAATATTTTACTTGAATTTAGATCACAGTTTAACTACTGGTACTTAAAAAGAAGTCTGGGTATATAATTAGTATAAACATAAAACTGATAAATATTAATTTTTGTAAGCGTGGAATAAAATATCGACATGTGTCCCTTGGCTCGACTCGAGATACTTATGAGTTGGGGATGTTAGAGGCACTTTCTCGCTAGTCGACAAATTC